GGAATCCATCTTTAAATGAACATTTTGTTTCGGGGAGGGGGACAAGAATGATGCTCCCTAGTAGGCCTGTGTATTTCTTATCTTTGACATATGCCAGCAAGTAGCACCTGGCCCACATTATACGACCTTTCATCTTCAGGACAGAATGATTCATACGTGAAGAGCAAGGTGCATTTTTACCTTTCGCTGCCAGTATCTGGTAATATCACTCAGAGACAATAGGACCCGCAAAGGGGTCACTACCACCCCCCCCCACCCCAACACACATTATCAGGAAACAGAAAAGAAACCTTAAATAACCAGACAAAAAGGAAGACAAGCTTAACTCTTGGGAGATATTTAACAAATATAAGAACAAGTTCGATCGGAAATATCTCAGAAGCTGCGGGCCAACGCATTCGTGCATGAATCACGTGGTTGTGCCATGTGAATTCTGGAAGGAACAGTGTTTTGGGTTTTAAAAAAATAACAGGTTTTTGACCCCGGTGACCTCATGATGACCTTTGACCCCAGTTTGGTCATTTGACATGTTGGGGCTAGGTTACTGATACTTTTAACGTTTGGTTGAAATCTGTCAAAATATGTAAGAGCAATAGACAATGGCAACGTTTGTTACTAACTAACGGACTTAAGCCCGGATCATACTCCACGCGAATGTGATGCGAAGCGAATTTGACGTCACGAAGCGTTCGCTGCGAAATTAGCCCGAGTTGAATTATGTTCAACTTGTACGAATTCGCAGCGCGAATACTCCCCATGACGACACAAATTCGCGTTCGCGCCGAGTATGAACCGGGCTTTAAACTCTCTCCTCGGGACATTCAAAACAAATGGAGATATATTTAGTTGTCGTTGACTGTTCAATCCAACCACAGGTGGTAAAATGTCAACCCGTCCATTCCAGGAAAGTCCGAACAAAAGTGAGCAGGTGTACACAAGTGATCACGGCGATACGTCCGCTTCGTCACGCAATTGTCTGTCAGTTGTCTGGACTTAATTGGAGGGCGTATTCGAAACATTAACCTTGTTCTCGAGCCGTGACCCGCTGTTACAACTGATAATGTAATAACCAACCGATAATGTAACAACAGTTGACCGATACTGTATCACTAACCGATAATGTAACCAAAATGTACCGATAATGTCACGTTAGAAATCAGTAAATTTGTGTTACATTATTAGGCCTAACCGATAATGTAACAAAACTTGACTGATAGTGCAGTTACATTTACTATTCACTATCGGTAAATTTTGGTTACATTATCGGTTAGTGATACACTATCGGTCAATTGTTGTTACATTATTGGTTGGTGATACGTCATCTGATGTTATTACTTGTTCAGTTGTAACGACACCTGTGGACAGTTTTCTCGGGACTCAGGTTGCCGACTGCGAACGCTTAAGTGCGTGTGGAGTGCAGCTGGGCAAAAATTCAAGATGGCAGCCGCCGTATTAATAATACGCCGAATGAAAAGAGGGGACAATTAATTGAATTAATATAAAGATAATTGAATTCCCGGAACAGCTATAACAAATGGCAAAGATATTATTAAGGCTGACAAGCCCACTCTATAACCACGTACAGTTTATCGTTACGGCTCCTGCACTGAATGAGTGCTTTCATGATTTTATTCACAAAGATTAACGCAAGTTCAGGTATGGGCCATCTTTGTTCTTGACGTTCTTCATTTACTCCCCAGTATTAAGTGGTTAGTGAGAATCCTGTTCGCGAACACTGTTCGCGTGTTGGTTCCCGTCATTCGGAAACGAGAACGGGGTTTCGAATACGCTCCCAAAACATTATGGAGTTTGTCCAGCAAAAAAAAAATCTTCTAATTGCATCACGTCACAATTTTTTTGAAAAAAAATTCCGACAGTGCTTAAGGCAGTCAAAAAATGTCCGTCTCATATCTGAAAAGGACATTCACTGCATTTTAAGAGCCTGCAAAACAGTGCTTCTTATTTCTTGTTGCGGTTAATGTAGTACACAACAACATGCAGCAGAATTGCAAAAGTTTGCAACATTTTATTTAAAAACATTCCCTGAATTTCCTGAACTGTCAAGCGACTATACCCGTGAGTCACAGCAACAACATGGCGTCAGAGATTAACATCAACGATGTGAACATTTATTTAATTACTCCCGCCGCTCACCATGCCGACAAGCAAATTATTCCATGGCTCCAAGTTTGCAGCTTTGATCAAGGTCTCGAAGATAAATTTCATGTCTTTTTTTTTTCTTGGTCTATGAGAAATTCTGAGGTCAGGGCCAAATCTGAGGAGGGATCGGAGGAGGAAGCATTCCCCCGTCCGGAAATATCACTCCCTGAATCTTTGCATACTCGGGTTTCTCTGCTTCCACGTACCCTGGATCAGTTGCACTGTCCGATCAGTTGCTCCGCATCCGACCCCCATCACACCATCGAAGATCTTAATCATCAAGTGGGGAAATACAGCATATTCGTAAGAGTAGAAACAGTAATTTACTGCTGTATTCCGCCAACGGAAAAGACAATCTCCATTTTAACCTTTTCAACTGTATGTTCAAAGTAGCCCACATGTAACTAGAGCACAGCGCTGCAACGGGGATGTGCATGCGGCGCATAGGGCATATACCCAGACCCGTACCCCTTACTATAGTGTATACCCCACCACTTGTTTGGGTCTGAAAGATGTGCCCTTTAGCATTACATCCGCCTTACTTCCGGCAAGGATGGGGATCCCCGTTGAAAGACATGACGTCAAGGTGAAGGGGAACAGCCAAATTGGACCGGGTCGGACACCCTCAGAAATAACGACAGCTAATGTTTGCTTTCAATTACACGATTCAGTATACGGAGTTATGACTCAGTGCAACTGAATGATTTATTGATCAGAAACAATAACGGGGTTCATGTATCACACACTGGGTCTTGACGCAAAGCACAGAGATTCTGTCGGTCGTATCTTATCATCAACTGCCACACAGTTGTCCCGAAAGTTTGCCTGTCCACGCCTCCGCTCGTCAAAGCTACAGATACAGACCAATTAACGCAGTTTCCTCCTCACATACAAAATAATACGCAACATACACGATACACGGAGAAGTTGCTGTGATAAACTGAACAGCAATAATACCCCACATCGGAAAGGGGACGTCCACGCTCGGATTTCGAGACATATTACACAAAATACAACTCATCTGCATTATATATCCCGTTTTGTTTGACAGATGGTATGTGTTAAAATTCTCATTTGCAGGTAATGTATACATAACCTTTTTATGCAATGGGTAATATAATCAGAGATTTTATGAGCCGTTCGCCGATTTCTCGGAATCAAAGAACTAGTTCCGCTACCAAACAGTGATATGCATCTTACACGCGGTGCACAAGACTTCCAAAGGTCCGAAACGTTCAGACTTGAACCTTTCTTTACACAAATCGGTTCTCAACTCTCAACTGTGATTACCCATGAATCTCAAAAAAGGACACAATCAGTGCAATAGAGACATTCGACTCGGCACCAGTTTCCTGGGTTATTTATTCATTTGAATAACACTCTTTTACATATCACACTTCAATATCGTGGTCTATAATTAAAAAATAGATAATGTATGCACACAGTTATTCCGGATTTTTTATAAAAGAAATCAAAACAAAGCTGCAGACAGAATACATTTTAAAAATTAAATCTAAACTGATCGTTTCTTGTAAAATGTACACTTGGAATCCATCAAAAATAATTTAGAGGTCATATTTACAGTAAGTTACAGTAGTAAGATATTAATGCTGAAACAATTTTAAAATTGGAAGACACCTTAAAATCCAGTTAATACAGGTAAGTAGGTTCTAAGTTCCACACTTAAAGTGGGGCAGATAGGGGAAATATTTGGGGGATTGTGCCTTTGATGATACAAGCATGGCATTTGGCACACATCACAGTATGTCATGAGAAAGATATTTGGCTATAGGACCATCGCAGATATGTCCTTTGAACAAATATAGGTAGAATAACAAGTAATTTTCAAAATTTTCAAAATAGCTGCCATTGCTTGTTATTCTAACAATATTTTTCTCAAAGGACAAATCTGCGGTGGTCCTATACCCAAATATCTTTCTTATGACATACTCTGACTGTGTGCCAAATTCCATGCTTGTATCATCAAAGGCACAATCCCATCACCTATCTGCCGTACTATTAGTGAGTTCTTTACATAGGTTCGCATAAAATAAGAGATTTGCTGCAATTTAAAAAAAGAAATTACAAAATGTTCAAACCACTTTTGAAAAAAATATAATTCTCTCACAAACTCTCTGACAGCACTTACAGAGTGCTTGTAGAGGAAACTAAGCACTCTTGCTAGGCGGCCTAAGCTTGGAATATCCTGTCAAGTTATACTCCCTTCATATTGCTGCAAAAGTAGTTTTATTTACGTTTCATGAGGGGGAAAGTACACTTCCGAATGGAACCCGAAAAGGAACATGATAGTCTCCGCATTTAAGGACTTCAAACCCTCTGGGTGTAGAGAATCTATTCAATCAACACAGTATACGGTTTTGATACATTCATGTATACTGTTTGCATGTTGCGTGCTAGCCTCTCATTACAGCGGAGCGCAAACACCTATCTCTAGGGGAATATATACACATCACCTATTTCAGCTGTGCGCCAACACAACACCGGTTCGTGGGGTTAGGCCACGGGAGAAAACTCACCGGGCGCCGGGGGCCGGGGTAAGCAAGAAGTGCACAGACGGCGGGTCCCACAACCAACGCGGACCTATCACTCAACCGATACCCGGTGAATTTATCACGTGTTTGTGATTCAATAAGATCACAGGAAATGTTCCATTATGGAGCATGGAACCCATGTGACTTGGGCAAGTGTCAAGGGAGATATTCCTTAGTATAGGAGGACAACAAAAGAAGCTAGAAACAGGTGTTATAAAGGCGTATTAAAGTTGTCCTCTCAGCGGTCTTCAACAAATTCGATCCCCCCTTCGAAAAACTTTTTTTTAAAATCATAGGCAGCTGCAACCCTCTGAACAACGCTTTCATTCCGAGTTGCTATTGCGCCTCTAGCCTTCAAGCACATAACAAAAGTTGAACACAGTGGATTAACAAACATTAATCCACTAGTGAGATTTATTATTCAAATCTTATGCAGATATTTAAGTCACCAAGAGTATTAGTCACTGCAGTATCATGTGGCCACTTAAAAAAAAAAAAAATATTTAAAAAAAAAGACGCCTGACCAGTTATTATGTTAAAGGAAGTAAAACATGTCTCGGACAAAACTTAAGTTACTAACTAAGGCATGTTAATCAAAACTAAAATGGGGGTTAACAATCCTCATTACAATGTATTTTCAAGCACGTGCTTGATATCACTCTTGGGACACCTCAGTTATCCAGTGTATATGTCGCAGTTAATTTTGCAATAGATGCCACAGTGCCATGGCCAAAACTGCGGTGTCCCAGGGGTGTGCGGTGATAAGGCGCCTAATAGGACTCGATCCTCAGCCACAGGGAATTAATCAGTTAATGCCTCCCTCATACACCTCTTGCAAAACACCCCCTTCTGCGAAGTTACAGGCCTAATGATAAAAAGCTGACAGTGCTGATGACGAGTCCGTTTAGTGGGAATTATATCCCCAAATTCCCCCGAGATTTCTCGGGGGAAAATACACTGAACTTGTAAAGTCCAGTGACACAATTCATAATACTCTTGAGGCCAATTCATAGCTCTTAGCTTTTAGGGAATTAAGCCAGATTTCATCGAGTCTAAGCTTGTCTTAAAAGCTTGTCTTGAAAATGAAGCGCCTAATTTAAAAAAAAAATGTATAACAGCGGGTCTGTAGAATATCCCCTTGAACAGCAAGGATATATGACATATGAGCACCCAGATTCGGCTATTAGCTATGTGCCTTGATCTCGAGATTGTGACCGTTCAGCGGGCGCCTTCTATCGAGTCTCCAGTAACCCGTTGTTGAATTACAAAAGCATGGCAGCAGAATTGACCAATCAACAGCTTAGTCCACATTTCTGATCGAAATGACGTCACATTTTCTAAATTCGACTCCGATTGACTGGCGCATGGGGTCGCATAAAATTTGCATTGCTCTCATAATATATCGGACGTTTGTTATGGAGAGGGCTCCGTGAACAACGGATGATACTCAGACTAGTTAAAAAGACAGAAATGTTGTGTGCTTTCAAGAAAGATGTTGACTTAAATCTATAATAATAATAATAGTTAAAAAAAAATCTGTTTTTTTAGTGAGAAATGTGTTCAAAAAAGGTTCACCAGATGATGTCATGCACAATAGGGAAAGGATATCACACATCACCTATCCAAATGTGAATGCACCTCTACAATTCCCAAGTGATGTGAGTCACATGCAGCAGCCCAATTTCTGAAAAGATCCTGATATTTCTCAGTGTCAACTCCTGTCAAAATTGTCATACCAGACACACATGCAGTTTTCTGAGCCAGAAAAAGGTTCATATCAATGTTGCATGAAGTTATCTACCATTAGATGTAACGTATTTCAGAGGGACAATTGTTTTATGAAAGAAAAAAAAAGGCTGAACCCCTCAACAAATTGAAACAACAAGATCGGATTCAAATATTCTTGAAGTATAATAAAAACTGCAACAGCTTGTTAACAGTAATCCATTTTTACTGGGGAGAAAAAAGAAAGAAAACCGTTCAGGCATCAGTAAACTTGTGTACTTTAAAGCATTTTTGTTAGATTGGAAACAGGCCTGAAGCCACGATTTCATTAGATGGCTTCCTCTTGCCAGTGGTCGCCAGTGGAATCATTGGATTCGAAACCGCACATCTCATCACAGATGTATATGGGGTGCATCCGAAAGTGACAAACGACGATCTGGAAGTGGCCTGTCACTTCTTGTTGGAAGAGCAGCAATCGAGATAGTCTTGGGTTCAGCGAGTGTTTATTCTTCCCAGTGCAGATTTGGGGTGGGAGGCCACACAGTATGTCAACATTGGCAGCTTGATATTTGGCTCGATTCTCCAGAGGCGTTAATCCAGGACGGGCTCTTTGTTTGATGGGATGAGTCAAAAAAGCTCGAGCCAAAACAACACACAAATAACTCGAAGTTGCTATAAAAATCACACCACTGACAAATGATGTGTGACAAGCCCGGTTCTTAAGCTGTTACTGGTGCCAAAGACATGTCACTTGCTTTTCATCGAATACCATGATGGCTTGGACAGGAGAATGATTTCCCCTTGTCGCGGAAAGATGTTTAAATCGCTTTAAATCACGAAAGTCTGGAACAGAGATTTTATCTTTAGTCATAGATTGTGAATCTGATGACAAGACTATACAAGATTGCTCAAATGAGCCATTTGGACATGATGGAGAGGAGGATGCTCCTTGACACAATTAGGAGCTTCGCAAGCTACGCAACATCTTGGACTCATCATCAACACAGCACTCTCTAGTTCATTCAAAAGTTTCACTCCTACCCACCACCTTATCCAACGGCACTGCAGTGACTATTTAATTGCTTAAGCACTCTGTGGATTAATTCTCTGTAACAGGCGATCTTGGGTCGACACCTCCATGTGCGCATGCCTCTTGCGCACAGAATGTACATGCATGGACCATGGCGATAACGTACCCAAAATACTTTGAGTTTTCTCAATATAAAGAGATTTGCCAACGGCAAAGCCCTTTGGTTGAGTGGTTAGGAACAAGCAGACGTTAAAAGGGGAAAGAAATTCCAGCACGGTGAAGATACTGTGCCAACTCTCGTAAACAATGCATTTTTGGGGGTTAAAACAAAACACCTCACACTGTGTCATAGTCATATCCCAATAAGGCAGTTTAGTATCTCGATGAAGTAGTCCAGATCAGCAGTTATTTTGATAAAATCGTTGACACGATGTTATGTGATGTCACGCGTTCATGCGTCTTCGATGACAGTATAGTTTTGAACCAATGGTTATTATTAATCAACAATGCATCATATTACTTTCTTTAAATTAAGCTATCCTGAATGCTGGGCTGTGCCTGAACTCTTTAGCATTAATGTGTAGTTGTATGCAAACAGATGTGGAAATCAAACTAAGTGACTCCCTGAAACAAATATAGAAGTGGGGGCATGAACTTTGCTTTGAACTACTGTGAGTAATCATCTCTGTGACAAAAAAAGGAGAATTTTCTCTTCAGGATTGGAAACAACTTGACAGGCCAGTTTCCTTTTTAAAGTGGCTTGTGTCATTGAAAGGTCCGTAGCTGATGGGGAAATGATATGACACCCCCTCCCCTACCCCCCCCCCCCCCCCCCTCTTAGCAAGGCAGGGTAGGAGAACAGATGGTGACTCAAATAGACAAGCGGCGAAACAAAATCTGGTAAGTGTAAAGGAAGTCTAAATTCCTCTTGAAGTCAATTCCAATGTGCATTTACATGTGCACACCATCCTTCAAATAAAAAAAATGTGAATTTATTGTTTTAATAATCTTAAATATCACTGTGGCATATAAAGAATTGTTCACTTCCCTTAACATTCCTACTTATGCGTTATGAATGGAACCCACGGATGATTAGTGAAAAGCCTTTTGGGCAATATATGAATACAAGATTATGGATTAGGAATTCCCCGTATCTTAGGAATTCCTGTATTCCGTTCTATTTTGTGGAGAATAATTTTGGCACAGTGATGCTCTCATCTTCCTCCTGTGTGATCCAATCCAGGCTCATATGTCAATTTTATAGCCTGTGCCTGACACTGTGAGGTTTGCCCAGAATATATATCTGGAGTTTTCCTCTGACGTCCAAATTGAATGCTTCCAGCTTCTTCGTTGTCTTCTCCTCACAGAAAAGACAACTGTGGGGAATCAGGTTGGCACGGTGGTCCTTTCCTCGCCTTCTGCCTCTGTGGCCTGGGTTCGATTCCTGCCCTGGTCCACACGTGGATTGGGTTTCAGTCCCTACCTGATTCTGTGGGTTTTCCCAGAATATTTTTCTGGGGTTTTCCTCCCACATCTAAAACTGTCATTTCTTCATTGTCTTCTCTCTGCAGATTTCTTCAGGCTTGCAAGCTACAGTGCCTAGGGCACTTTTGAGGAATCCTTGGTTTCATTACCAGAAGTAAATTACAGTAACAGACTTCTCAAAGCATGCGGGCAACAGCGGCATGGGCAGCTTTGAGGAATGCTTGGTTTCGTTACTAACAACAAGGAGCATTCATAAAACGAAGAAAGACTAAAATAATAAATCAGTTACATTGCTACTGTTAAAATATGCCCAAAGAGGTTTAGGTCACATGCACATGGTCTAACTGCTGGTGGCAGCTCAAATGATGGCGAGAAATTCTGGTGGGAAGAAAAGAGGCAGGCAATGTGCAGCTCACTTATCATTGGCAGACACCAGACAGGTATCATCTCTGATCGTCTTTGCGCTTCAGGTTGAACTCCTCTTGTCTTGCTCTCAGCAACTCAATCTGTTTCTTGTTGCCATTTTGCCTGCGATGCAAATCAAAAAATCAGAGGGTACTATCAGTCCCAGTAAACTTAAATTTGGGGCGCTGTGGTCCAATGGTTACACTGTAATACAGTGTTCGACTCGTGTGCTGACATGGTACGTGGGTTCAAACCCTGACGGGGAACATGGTGCTTGTGCTCTAGGGCAAGGCACTTCACTATGATTGCCTCTCTCCAAACAGGAGTATACAGTCGACTCTCATTATAAAGAGCACTTTTATAAAGAGGTTCTGCTTATAAATAGCAAATTCTGAGGTCCCAAATCTCAGGTTCTCTGTGTGTTTCTTTGTTTCGCTGTCCTTTTATAACAACATTCCTGTTATGAAGCGGTAATTTGGCTAGTCCCATCGACCTTGTTATAACGAGGGTCGACTGTACATAGGTACCTGTGAAGGTAGAGACCAAGTTGCACTGATCTCGAGCTGCTGCAGAATTATGATCTCATTTCTGATGAACAGGGATAACAATTGATGTGCAATGATCATATTCATATGGAATTTGTGCAATATAAATGTTTAAATAAATACCTTGTAAATGGCTATGAGCTCTGATGTCTGCACATTGTCTCAGTTCCCTATGCAGAGTGTGACATATAAATTGGTTCAGGCTTCAAAGCTTTGCTGGATTGTGTAATTTTAATTGGAATATTTTTCATTTCTCCTGAGTATTTTAAACTTTTCGGAAGGGTCTTCTCTTGCCTCTTGTAGTTTCTTTTGAATGGTAACCTTCAGTGACTTTCAATATTTCAGGGGTCCTTAAAGGTACTGGACACCATTTGCAAACACTCAAAAATGAAACTGTCAAAACATATCATGAAACATCCTACTGGACTATTAATAATAGGATCATGCATCCTGTGAAATCATTGTGCCTAGCAGTGTTTCCCCTGGCTAATGAACTGAGCGAGGTGGTAACAATTCAAGTTGATGATTGAAACGAAATTTACAGTCTGCAAACTGAAAAGAATGCAGCGCTCACAAAAATGCGCGATGATTCCAAAAACACATCGAAATTGTGAGTTCTTGATACATGGAGGTAAAGGAAAATGCTCATATATTACACAAAATGAAAATTTTTCAATTGATATTTGCTTTTTTGCCAATCTTCACAGCGAGGTGGTGATATTGGCAAAAATTGAGAGAGGTGGTCACTGAAAGTAGCGAGGTGGGCCACCTCACGTTTGAATGGGCAGGGGAAACACTGGTGCCTAGAATGTTGCCATTTTTGAGAAAAGAGGAATTACCATCAATTCCTCGCGATGGTTAGGACCAAGCCATAAAGCTTGCAACAGAAACCTGTGCTTTGCGTCAAGCAAATGAAGACCTATGCAAGTTCACAGTTTTCTCAAAAAGTACATCTTTTGAACTGGACTTAAGACAGTGTACATTTTATAATAACCTGCTTCAGATTTATTGTACTGTTTCTTTAAATCAGCACTCAAAAATGGTGTCCATTACCCTCAATATTAGGTTTTATATGAATCTTGGATTTTGCACTTATTGATTGTGTGGGATTGTTTTATTTGGGGGGGGGGGGCTAAGGAGAGTGAACACTGAACAGTACTTCCGAGGTTACATCAACCAAACACGAACATGTACTGAACTTTCTCTCAACCCCTCTCTACGTCTCTCTACAATTCATTCAAGTTCACATGCTATCTTTTCTCCCATGCATGTACGTGTCTTCCAGCATGTCTTTCATGTTCCAATGTCACGCTATAAAGATCTTGCTAGGGTTAAGACATGCTAACATTATTTACACTAGCGCACCTGTCCATAGGGAATATCAATCAATTATCTGTCCAACCAAAAAAGTGAAAGTAGGATATTTGAACAGGTGTTCTATGTAATTTATGATGTAACTTACATAGAGCCAATAAAAAGATTATAGGTAACACCTATTAAATAATAAGCATAACTCAAATCGAAACTGTTATGTCAACTCATCCACTGACAAATACCAGTTCATGTGTTGACATCAGAAATGAAAAAAAAAATGTACATTTAAATGAGATGGAGCCAAAAGTAATAATTCAATCACATTTATATAATGACTAAGCCTTCTTGAAAATTTCAATGCACGCTAGGCACATATGACAAACAAATCCGGTAATTTATGCGCAAATGTTTGGCAGTGAGACAAGTTAACCAGTCCTTATTTTCTCTATGTAGTTGTATATTATTCTATTATGAGTAGATTATTGTGTCTGAGCTGGGGAGATAATTATTTTCACACATTGTTGCACAAGTCAAAGGATCTTATACAGAGTGATTCGGCGACGGCCATTTTCTGAGGTAGCACTGTGGTACCAGGCTCACGCGAGTTGCGCTCAGGTAGTACACATGCACTCCGGGCTCCTTCAACCAAAAGTGTTACCAAAATACACCTGCGCCTTGTCTTAAAGAACGCATGCCGCGTGTACGCGAGCATGGCACCACTTCAAAAATGGCTTCCATTTTTGTTCGCCAGACTACACTATATTTTGTAAATGGCCACATTTAAAAGAGGGAAGTCTCTGAAGTGTATCGGACGCAGAATGCATAAAAACCCTGGAATTGGAAGAGCATCCAGTATTTCTGGTTTGACCAATCAGAGTGAGAAGCATAAGCATTCACAACCAATCACATGCAATCCAGTGTTCCTGATCTTCTAATCCCAGCAGGATTGACAACAGCCGTTACCCAAACCTTGGCTTCATCTCCAGCTTCAGCTTATAATCATTTAGAAGCCTTTAATGTCCAACCCATGGGGTGTGTGTGGCCTAGTGGTTAGGGTTCGTGACTCATGATCAGAGGGTCATGGGTTCGATTCGAGCTGCTTGCCATATGTTGTGTTCTTGGGCAAGCCACTATAACCCACTTGCCTCTCTCCGCCCAGGAGTTTAAATGGGTACTGGCATTAACTGCGGAGTAACCTGTGATGGACAGGCATCCCATCCAGGGGGAATAGAAATATTCTAAGTCAAGGAAACCAGAGCTAAATGCTGGCCTGATTGGCTTTATTGGCTCGTGACAGACTTTATTGCTACTACTTTACTAAGGTCCAACCCAAATGCTCATAAACATTGGTCTCATGCATACGATTAGATGTTACTGGAGACTGTGCAAGTTGCTCAACATTTCAGTTATGACAGGTATCAAGAAAGTTGTACAATGCGCGAGTCCACAACTCACCCAACAGATCATTACGTAAATTACGCTGTTTTGGCGAGTGATAATTTACTATTTTACTGACTAATCGTGATTGTTGGGGAGCTTGTTTTTGTCCAACTTATCAAGGTCAATATAAGAAACTAACAGCTTCGTTTTTGAAATAAACGAATTACTATTTTATCTGCGACAAAACTTTTAGAGCTGTTCATATTTCTGATGAAAGTTGCTCAAGCTTGTTTCCAAAATGGCAGGCTGAGGTGATTCAACAAATGTTTCGTTAAAACATAAATCATATACAAACAGATGCTGTAAAAGCTGTTTTTATCATCGTCCAAGATGTTTGAATTATGTAAAATGTTGTGCAGCTACACCAAATTTTATGAAATCCATCGCTAGTAATTTGTGCAGCTATGCAACAGATTTGTTGCATAAATCCTACGCATGACGTAAGCTGCGAACTGTTTCGTGAAATGGACTGCTGAACCTGTTCACATGTTGAGCCGAAGTGTCCCAAGTCAGAGGGTTTGACATCCCCCAAATCAGAAACAGGCAACCCCTGTGTTTGTCACTGATACATTGTACAAGTGTATCAAATGTACAGTGTAAAGCTGTGCAACATACATGTACCAAAGAGGTTATTGACATCCAAATATGAGCCACTCACCTTGCTCTGGCCTTCGCTTCATTGTAAATGGTGGCTATTCTTCGGTCTTTCTCATCTAACCTGCTAATGACGTAGTCACTACTTTGCCTATAAAGAAAAAAAAAACACATGAGAGATTCCTCTCGTTTCTCAGGCAACTCTTCCACCTCCCACAACTATTGACCAGGTCTGTGTATTGAGACGCTTTTGGAGACAAGAGGGCGCTATTTAACTAGTCCAGATATGACTAGTATACAGGGTGAAATTGTATCAATGTGGTGCATAACTGTGTGTCATCAGCATAGAAGTGTGATTGAAGGTCATGTTGTCCAGCAATGTGTCCCAGTGGGGAGGTGTAAACAGTGAAAAGTACAGGACCCAGGACAGAGCCCTGGGGAACTCCATAAGGAACTCCAGTCTCTGCTGACGTGTCTCAGAGTACCTGTACAATCTGTCGAAAAAGGTCTTTAAGATATGTTTGGAAACAGCTAAGAGCTAAACCGGTTACTCCAAACTTACTGCACAATCTTTGAATCAATAACTCATGATCGATTGTGTTGAAGGCAGCTGAGAGGTCGAGCAGGACAAGTAACACAGCCTTTTTGCCATTGACTGCATACATTATATCATTGTGGACTTTCAGAAGTGCCGTTTCAATACTATAGAACCTTCTGCAGGCCGATTGTCGGGCTTCATGCAGATTGTTCTTCAACAAATGTGCGTTTAACCTGCCTGCTACAGCCTTCTCGACTACCTTCGATACAAAACACAGGTTTGAGATCGGGCGATAATTGTTCATGTCATTGCAGTCCAGGATTTCTTTTTTGATGACAGGAATGATCATAGCAGTCTTGAAGAAGCTTGGGAACAGACTACTTTATTTCTAGCGACATGATGGTTATCTGAGTTATTGGCTCTGCACGGGAAACGCAAGTTTAAGGCAAACATCAAGTGATAAAAAGATCTGAAGAACAGCTGTATTTAAAAGCATATTTCTGTCAAGCACAGATGTTACAGGTTTGTGAACATTCATTTCGAAATAAGCCATAGGTACTCCACGCCATATGTGCATGAACTGATGTGTGTCGGTGTGTTTATACATATAGGCCTTATGGGGTACCAGGAATGAAGAGCAAAGATAGGGACAATGTGAACTTTATTTTGAGTGGGTCTTCAGAAATCTCAGTACCCCGCTAGTCGTGTTTGAGATTACAATAGACACAAAGAGTACAAAAGTAGGAAAGTAAATGTCTACAGAAGTGGTACCCCATGTCTACCCTCATGTAGGTAGAGATGGGTGTGTTCATCCATTTATCATGGCAGTTATTCCCAGCAAAGTGGGCATGGTGGTAATTGTAAGCCCACTTTACACAGACTTATACGTTAAACAATGGAAATGCACTTACTTGAAAATAATGAAATGCACCATAGCTCCTACTACCAGGAATAAAATACAGCCGTAGACAACGTAGACACTTTTGACTCTACGGACACCCTTTATACCGTAGTAACTATCCCATGATCCAGCGTTCTGGGTGCCTTGATGGAAAGAACCCAGGTCTCTGTACCTACACATGGGTGAACATCAAGAAACAATCATGAATGGTTTGCAAATAATTCATGGACAACATGCTGGGTTTTATTTTAGTGAAGTTAATCACAAATCAATCACAAGTCAATCACAGGAAAATCATTTTACAATATCCCATCAAAAGCCGATCACAATTCGATTGCAAGTCAATCCCAAGTATCTGAATCGGGTACCTGAGTATCTGACCACTGATGTCAGGAACCGGTTCCAGATTATGGGATCGGGTACCTGTAACCAACTGTACAAATTACTTAGTTACTTCTCAGACAATGAAAAAAAATTCAGACAATGAAACAGAATTTTCAAAATGAAAACCAGGCTAACAGATTTCACGTTTATGTGCATTTTAATGCGCGACAGATGAAGCTCGCGAAAGTTGCAATTTACACAGTGAAGCTTTAAAGCCCTTCAGACACTTAAAGGGAATGTACAACATTTGTTTTTGCTGCAATTCTCAGAATTAAATGGATTTGAAGGATCAGTATGTTATAGCAAATATTGTTAAACTGACTTGCTTCACGTTTTGGGTTCGGAGATGCTGGAAAATCCAAGAAAACCAACCATGTTTTTGTTGTCTGGTTCCCTGACCCCACGTAAGATGAAACGGAGCAATTTACACAGGTGTGTAATCAATTGCAAAGAAAATGCGGAATAACTAAATATGAAAAATTAGGAAAACTTTTTGAAAAAAGGTCAGTTTTCTCCAACTTGGAAAAGTACAAGTTTTCTTGAAAATGTCAGCACACCAGGAGCCACCATTTGACAGGATGCTTCAGACTGTCATTCCCTAACAATCCAGTAAGATATTTCGTGATAATTTGATCATTTCGTTTTTTGATGTTTGCAAATGTTGTATCTTCCCTTTAACAATATTCTCACTGTTAAGTTTTGTTAATTAGGTACTACAGTTCCTGATAATAGAGGAAATAGAGGTTGTGTTTTTTTGTAGTCTTCAGTTTTGGTAAAACCCTCTTTTACGAATACCTGGGTACCCGTGTATTACTTCAATAGGGTACCCGGTTCCTGTACTACCCGTAAATGCACAGTGCACACCACTAATCACAAGTCGATTACATATCAATTACGTCAAATCACAAGTTGGGTTCGAGTAATAGTGGATAAACAATGACTGGGTTCAAATAAACAGCTTGTCTCTTGAATAAGGAGGACTGAATGACTTGTGAATGAATGCTTGTGACTTCTGAGGACTTGTGATGGCTTGATAATTACAACTCTGGAAATCACTACACCAAGGACTAGTACAATGCCTTTACCAATCATGCTCTCCCTGTTGTGCCCCGTACGGATCATCCGCTGTGGCGTGTGCGGCTCTCCTGACGCGGACACCGACCGTCTGGGTACCGGGATTACTCAGGCTGAAATCATACTCTCGTCTTGACAGCGACTTGCTCAATACTGCATAGGCTTGGTTGAGTTCAACAAAGGAATTGTGCTGGTCCTGCTGTTCACCTTGATGCAGTCTACTCAGACTAGCATCAGGATGTAACTGGAGCAAAAACGTGTTGATAAATATATACACTTGATCATAAATGCTTTTTTTTCCCTGATAGCCACACCCGAAAGTGTTCTTTGCTAGTTAGGCCAAACAAAAAAATAGTCGGTCTCTGGTCAGACTGAAGTTCCGGAATTGATGCGGCGAAGCGGTTTTTTTTTTTTTTTTTTTTTTTGCTTTTTTTTTTTTCAAGCTTGAATTGTACAGACAAGGTGGGTACTATTTTGCTTTTTGTGTCCTCATATACATTGGTGCAATTTCCCCATTGCTTGGTGCTCCTTGGTACAACAATTTGAGGAGGTGCGGCAATAGAGGGCGCTGTTGTAGCTTCTGTGGTATATTTGAAGGAAAAAAAAGGTTGACGAGCATGATTAAAATCGACGTGCGCGCTGACCAGAGACCGACTATTTTTTTGGGGGGGCCTTAGTGTAACTTCCTGAATCCACTCTAATCCAACACTGTGTTAAAAACAAATGGAACTGTCTGTTTCAATAGGACACCATTAAATGATCAAGCCTCGTGACAAATGATAATGACTGGGATGTAATGGCCTCTGTGTATAATCATTCCCTCACCTGTGAAAAATACCCATTACCACTTTGACAACCATTCGCATTGTGCATTGGACACCCATCCACAGAACATTCCTCTCATGCAAAGATGCTACGTGGATGTGAACATTCACATGGGAGACTTTTGAGATGCTTGGTGAAAGCAAACACACTGGTCCCTTTTTATTGTTTACATCATTTTGAACCTGCGCACATAGGGGTGTCCATCGGAACCCGGTACCCAAGTACCCAACCGCTGATGTCAGGTACCGATTCCAGATTATGGGATTGGGTACCCGAACCCAACCTTACAAATTACTTAGTAAATTCTCAAACAATGAAGAAGAAAGGTTTTGAATGCCATTTGTGGGGGATTTTCAAAATGAAAACCAGGCTACACGGAAACCTGAAACAGATTTCAAGTCTGTGTGCAGGGAACCATGTTTTACTTCAATGGGTATCCGGTTCCCGTACCGCCCGTAAATGCACACCACCATGCGCATATTAGCTTAAAGATAACGCAAACAACTGGAAAGGACCGTTGTGTTTGCTACCAGCATCTCTAAGGCTCCCAATGAAAAGTGGTCAGGCACATGCAGACTTTTATTGACACAACTTCATCAATGAATAGCTCTCCCTGGAGGAAAGTTGTGCACTCACCTTTTTTGATAGATCGATATACGCTGCCTTTATTTCACTTGGCGTGGCAGCCCTTTTGACCCCTAGAACCTGATAGTAGTTCCTCTGTAGCAAGCTTCAATACAAGGAAAAAGAGCGGATAGGAATTGTCCAATGAATTGATAGAAATCACACATTTATCCAAAAATCCTTTTTGAGACAAAAATTGATACACAGGTTTTTTTTTTAATTTTGAAGAACTAAGGTCTTATGTTGAGATTCAAGACAAAAACAGTTGTGGCACAAAACAAGACACTGACAAAACTTGGGAACATTATTAATCGAGGCTGAATACTTTGGTTGATCATCCTGATGGAGCACCAGCATGGTATTCATCAAGAGGTCACTGTGAGGATCCTGCTTAATTCTTTATTCTTGTTAACCCTTGCTCCAACTAAAGCTTATCTAGAGTTGGGTAGTCCCAACTCCAGTTTGGCTATTGTTACGCTTGCCCAACTGCATGGCCAAACTATAGTTAGGACTACCCAAACTATGGTGGAGCCACAGCTGGGGCAGTTGCACAGTTGGAATGTAACATTCTCACGAAGTGCATTCCTAGTTTTGGGTTACTTCACTCTGTTTTTTTTTTCTTGAACACATATTGAAACCTAAGAAATGCATTTAAGTTCATGTCTTTCTAGATGTGGTGTTTCTACAAAAGCTAGGATTTCCTTATCCCATCAGTATGTTGTTGTGTGAATTCGAAATACACTTCAACACACCACTTGTACTCAGCAGTTTCTTTCTGGAGCACCATGTCTGATTTTGTTTATAAATGTTTCAAACAAATTTTGATCTACTCATCTGAAACCAGCTACACCTACATACAGTGCAGACTCGATGCATCTACAGAGGTTGTTGTCTTTATGGCTCACCTGTGATTGTGTACTGAGAACGACCTGCGAATAACTCTCCCAAGACGTCGCTGGCATTTGACACATATCATCAGTGCTGAATCCATAGCGGCACTCTATCAGTTTAATGCTAATATTCCCTGATGTCGAAAGTATGAAGTGGACACTATTACCTTGTGAAAGTAAGACTTATTTTTTGTTAAAATGCGACATTGAATCATTATAAAAAAAAGTCACTGATCTATCCTTTCTCCATCCTCAACTCAGACAGTCTCACTCAGTCTGCTGCTGCTGGCATGGCTGGGGTCAGTTCACTGCCGGGTATCTATTATTTTTATTAATTATCTAACGTTGAAATTAACGGTTCAATTTTCGTCTGGTGCGTTGTCTTGCTTTCTGATTGCTTTTCACGACAACGCACCAGACGAAAATTGAACCCACTAGCGGCGCTTGAAGCGGTGTGGTACCCACATACATCGCGCAATTTTTTTCTTCTGATAATCATCACGTGATGCATTTATTTGAATAATTATTTAAACAAGATGGACGACAGCCGTTGGAAATGGACATTTTTTATGAACGCCGAAGAAAATCGTCAAAAAAATTCACATTTAAAAAAAAATTAAGTTGTTTTGGTTCTGTTTCAAGTCGACCATTAGGTCCCATTAGCTTCGTGAGTGACTGCTGAATGGTGTGAGGTATGTCCATGGAATCTGGGGTGGGATTATAGAGGTGAAAATGGACCATTTTGTAGAGGCCCTCTTACTTCCACACTCTCACACATAGCCTATGTAGATTATGTCTCCAGCGCTACATGTGAATGAATATGAGCATTGTCAGCTGTAGCCCCACTAGTGTGGCCGCGGTATGCTGCGCTGAACCTCTGGCCACACACCGTGGTACCGCGCACTACTGAGGACGTTTTCATACAAATTACGGTCCGTTTCTTACATATGGTTGTATTCTATGATGTCCCATCTATCACTTCTGGGATGCTTAGGAGTAATGCTGTTCAATTTTCCGAGATATTCTTGAATCTTTCTGGAGCCCATATGCACTCGTGAAACGTCTGGTGATGGCAGCCATTTTGAATGTGACAAGAGATGACCTCAAGCTGTGACGTCGTGTTTATGCAAATTGCTTGTCGAGCGAGGGCGCGAGTTGCAAATGCGACAGCTGTTTCCTGTGCCGTGGATCCTGAATAGAGATCAGTGCACGTGGCCCCCAGACGATAAATGCATGGTACAGGAAACAGCCGTCGCATTTGCAACTCGCGCCCTCGCTCAACAAGCAATTTGCATGAACGCGACGTCACAGCTTGAGGTCATCTCTTGTCATATTCAAAATGGCTGCCATCACCAGACGTTTCACGAGTGCATATGGGCTCCAGAAAGATTCAAGAATATCTCGGAAAATTGAACATCATTACTCCTAAGCATCCCAGAAGTGATAGATGGGACATCATAGAATACAACCATATGTAAGAAACGGACCGTAATTTTTATGAAAACACCCTCAGTAGTGCGCGGTACCACGGTGTGTGGCCAGAGGTTCAGCGCAGCATACCGCGGCCACAAGTAGTGGGGCTATGTCAGCTGGATGGAGGCTAGTCCGAGTAACTTGGACCCAACTTATTGCCTTTTTTAACATTTGGACATGGTCTGGCGATAGTAAGGTCCAAGCTAATACCGAGACCTAGACAACACAGTCCCAAAAACCAACATTTTCCAACAAAAAACATCAGATTTCACCTTCAAAACGGCCTCCAAATTACTAGATATGTCACCTGAGGTACAAGTAGACATAGATGATTAAGATGGTTGTACTTAAGTTTACTTACGATCCGGAAAAAAGTGAAATTTTCCGTTCAATTCTGAAGACCCCCTCTGCCTAGGTTGTCGTTGTTGTGCTCACATTCAAAACTGCACGATAATGGCGTCTGACCTCGACCTCATGCAAATGTCGTGACGACACGGCAGATTCCCCTGCGCCGCGCCGACGACTGTTTCCTGATGTAGAGTGCTGTGTAATTTCGCGGTACGCCTAGGAGTCGCGCTGGCTAGCCAGGCGCATGGCTGGCGCTCTACATCAGGAAACAGTCGTCGGCGCGGCGCAGGGGAATCTGCCGTGCATGCAGTGCATTATGCGCAAGCGCGCCGTCCCGACATTTGCATGAGGTCGAGGTCAGACGCCATTATCATGCAGTTTTGAACGTGAGCACAACAACGACAACCTAGGCAGAGGGGGTCTTCAGAATTGAACGGAAAATTTCACTTTTTTTCCGGATCGTAAGTAAACTTAAGTACAACCATCTTAATCATCTATGTCTACTTGTACCTCAGGTGACATATCTAGTAATTTGGAGGCCGTTTTGAAGGCGAAATCTGATGTTTTTTGTTGGAAAATGTTGGTTTTTGGGACTGTGTTGTCTAGGTCTCGGTATTAGCTTGGACCTTACTATCGCCAGACCATGTCCAAATGTTAAAAAAGGCGATAAGTTGGGTCCAAGTTACTCGGACTAGATGGAGGCTAGAGTAGAAGTAGCCCCATAAATGTGGCCTATTTACTGGACTGCCTCCGTAAACATAGGCCACACATCCACATGTACAAAAATCGTGTCGACTTTGCCAAATTTTGATTTTCACATTTAGGCTTAGTTTGTAGGATTTTTTTGCTTTAGAAGCATACCCACCCTCTTTATAGGCTAATCAGAAAGTGCTGCCTTTTTCAGATGTTTATTTTTCGTGAAATTTCCAGATTCATTTTTACACGTTTGCGTATCAAAATTTCAACATGAAATTTCACAAAAATTAGACATCTGAAAAAGGCAGCACTTTCTGACTAGCCTATAATAAACAGATAAAGAGGGTGGGTATGCTTCTAAAGCAAAAAAATCCTACAAACTAAGCCTAAATGTGAAAATCAAAATTTGGCAAAGTCGACACGATTTTTGTACATGTGGATGTGTGGCCTATGTTTACGGAGGCAGTCCAGTAAATAGGCCACATTTATGGGGCTAGAGTAGAAGTAGAACTTAAGCTAGCATGGCTAGAGTGCAACAAAATTGAACATGTTTCTCAGCTCAGCTCAGTTTCATGTCCTTTCAACATTTTTGCAATGACTGACCTGTGGCGTCAGGATGCAACATACATTCTTTCCAAAAAAAGGAAATTCCGTAAATATGGCTCAAAGTACTGGATTACGGAAATAATTCTACCTACCAGAAAGAAGAAGGACGTCCACACTACGCCGGCTTGACAAATGACGTGATGACCTTTATTGATATTTTTACGTAACGGTCACAGCGCATGCGCAAAATCATGTACCAGCGTATATAGTCGCATTATCAGTCGTTGGTTAATTTTTTCTTGTCTACTACATGTACATCCGAAACAAAATTTAATAATAAACCTTTACGCTCTTTCGTGGCAGTAGAATTTACATCAAGGACTAAAAAAAGAGGGTAACTCAGCAAAAGATGGGCTTATTTATATGCTTTGATTTTAGGACGGGTACACTGAGGGCGCTATTTAACAGATCATACAGACGCACCATTGGGGTGCAGACCAGACTGCCATAGACCAATAACGCGCACTTCCCAAAATTACTACTCACAACTTTTTGAGGTGTTCAAGACACGCATCAACTTATTATCATCATCTTTTATTTTCTGTTCAATTTTTTTGGGGGTAATTCCATGACTTTTGGGAGAAATTTCCATTCCATCCGAAGATGATCACTTAATAGTCCCGAGCCCATCGCCATTTTGAAAAATGATGTCTACGCTTCATTGCAAAATAGAGCGCTTTTAGGGCCAAATTTTATCCAAATTTTACAGAAACACAAGCTCACAGTCATGTGCACGGCTTCCACCCTTCTTTTTTACAAATCGCGGCGTGCTTTGGCCGGCGTAGACAATTTTTACTGGTCTGCACCCATTGGGGAACTGGGCAAGGGACGGTTTCCCGACCCCCTCCCCCCTAAAAAATATGGGGACCAGCTAGCTCCCGTTTAAAGCCATTGATCACCTCTGCGCGTGCAGCATGATTTTTAATTTTTGAATCACTATCCAGCTCATGGACCCAACTTGAACACACATGGTTATCAAATACTGACTCTTCTCTTACCACAAAATGTACGCAAAATCACCAGTGTCTTCATAAAGACAATTTTCAAGTTTTCCAACTGCATATGTTTTAAACACTGAACGGTAATACCCTTCTCTTTATTGGTAATTACGATAGACTGACTTTCGAATTCAGCAAAATAGAAGCTCAAACCTCCGGAATTGTACATTCGTGGCCTCTGTTTTGCACAAATATTACCGTTGTGATTTTGAATGCATACCAGGAGGCGGAATTCAGACTTACGGTCCGGTACATGAACTGCACACATTACACCGAATTCCGTATGCAGGGGAGTAAATCCGGGGGGGGGGGGGGGGTATATATCCCCCCCCCCTCACTTTTAGACCGGTGGATGGGCTATTGAATCCCCCCCCCCCCCACACACACACACACACACACACACCCACACACACACATACATAGGTATAGAAGTGGGGTACTTCATTTGTTCTCGTGTACAATAATTTTGCAACGTCGCACACTTATGTCAAAATGCTCTTATTTTAACCATAGTTAATTTCCTGGGCTGAAATTCGGACTTAATATCCCTTTTCTAAAACTCTTCCATTTGCGACGGATCAACCCACCTTGGAAATTCCTAGTTTTTGAGTAAAATCCATATATCTATTTCGTGGAGTAGCAAAACGGTACCCCGCAAGTCGGTGGGCATTCCTTGTGGGGTACCTCCCATTGTTCCGGTACCCCACAAGGCAGTGTTTGTACACGCACACTTTTTCGTGATTGGAAAAACATGTTCGAAATTTTTCAAACATCCCAACAACCCAAAATGTATTCAATGGCATTTAAAAGTGGATAAACAAAGTACAAAACCTTGCAAATGAGTGTTTTGATGTGAGCGCGAATATACATGTTGATATACATCTATATCCTGAAGAGCGCCCCCCTAGTCATGTGATGTCCAGCGCCCCCCCCCCCCCCCCAACACGATTTTTTTTTCAACGTTTAAATGTTACAATCTTCTCCAGCCAATATTCAGTATCACCTTTCATAATACAAATTGGAAAGGAAATGATTGGGGTTGGTTTTTTTTTGGGGGGGGGGGGAGGTGTGGACGCAATAATTCAAATGAACGTGAAAACACATTATGCACATTGGAAATAACAACACTAATATAAGTACACGATATAATCCCATTACTTGCATATTGCGGTATCGAATAAGGATACAGGAAGAAAGTTCCTATCCAGGGCTTACTATTGGAAACGAGGTTGAAAATAAAGTAAGCCCTGGGGACGAGGTTGGCGCGTGGGCAACTTTTCTGGTCTTGTATGAACTGTCTTCCCGGTGTTTGAACAAACAACTCCGATGATGACCCATAACGAAATTATGCATGACGAATTTAGCCATCAATTTAAAAAAACGTCTCGGGACTCTTGTTTACTATTCATCAGAATTCTATACATTGCACATAACAACAAAAGCAAATTACTAAATATTCTACGATTTTATCATTGTCATTATACGTCAGTGCGGCTATAAACGCACGCGCATGCGTAACGAGAGTAAATGGTGAATTTATGAAAATAATCAGTGTTCATAAATCGTGTGCCTCGGGCGATGCCGGCTATCCAGCTCTGCAATTTGATCACTCTACCGTGGTACTTTGTTTGGTTTTATTAAATAGATGTCCCAACGCAGAAACCTCAATTTCATTCCTGGGTGACATGATGAAATTTGCAATCACATCAACATCTGGTTAAACGAATTAAGCCAATTAAGAAATGTCAGTACCGTACCGTGTTACGTTCCATTGCTATACCGTAAACCATTGAAAACCTTCCATCGAGGCAGCAATCGAAACGGTTTAAACTCGTGTTTATCATAGTTCGATCCTAGAGCGAAGGCCAATGCACGGCCGCGATGGCCAATGTACTTATGTCACCACTTAACGCGTATTGAAATGAGTCGATCATGACAAACGGAGAAACACTATTCGTTTACTTTCTCAATAAATAATGGAAAATATTCAAACACCAAAAAATGTCATTTTGATTGAAAACAGTCCACTTTTTTCATTTTTTTCAAATACCACGACCCCTCAAAATCTTACTTCCTTAATTATAAATTTAAGGGAAAAAAGTGTCACGTGTAGCCTATTTCTAATAACGATTGTTCCCGTTCCGCTAAATTCTGAAAAAGGGGGGTCGCATTAATTTTGTCTGCCCCCGAAATATTGAAAAGGGGGTCACGCGTATTTCATAATTCCCCGACCCCCTCCTGGAAAGGGGGGGGGCGTGTTTTTCTATGAATATTTTTCCCAGAGGGTCGTGTGTATTTCAAATGATATACGTTCTTAAGTCGCAACTGCCATTAGTTTTGAAAAACTGAGGTCAGGTGTAATTGTAATGATGACTTTTTTCCGACCTCAGGCTTCTAAATTTAAATTGAATTTATATTCCTTTTATTTATATACATTGTTTGATTGTAAAGCGCCATATGGGAGCGTTTTTTAAATGGATTTGGCGCTATGGAAATTTCCATTATTATTATTTTATTATTAAACCCTGCAAAGGGACATATTTATATATGTATTTCTGATGATTTTTCCGACCTCCTAAATTCTGAAAGGGGGGTCGCGTGTATTTCTAATGATGATTTCCCCGACCCCTAAATTCTAAAGGGAGGGCGTATTTCTGATAATGCAATTGTCCGACCCCCTAATTTAGAAAATGGTGGTCGCGTGTATTTCTTATGAAATACATTATCCGGCCTTCGAAATTCATAAAAGGGAGTCGCGTGTATGTATTTCTAATGAACAAAAATTCCGACTCCCTGAATTCAGAAAAGGGCGGTCGCATATATTTCTGGGGTTTTTTTAATGCAGTACCGAAGCTCATAGTCCATGAGCCACTCGATTATTTGGTAACAACTTGACGGACTCATACTCACAATGGTTTATATTCGTTATATTAACGAAAAATACCTTGGGAAATTTGGGGAAATCTGACAAACCCTATAAAACGGCAGCTTAAACGGTCCATGAGATAATTTTTTTAAAACTTTGTATGAAAACTATTTGACATTCCTTTTGGGATAATTTTATTGAAAGTTGCACTTCTTTTAAAAAACATTTAGAATTGTCCATGTTTTTCTGGACAACTGAGGGCGCTGTTGCTGTGGTGTCATTTCAGGAAGACACTGTTTTTATTTAGTGGTTTTCTGCTCAAATTGTGTTCCGAGAAATGTGTGCATCGAAAACATTTGTGAGAAAAGTTTGCTCATTGGCTTACTGAAATTTCATTGTTTAACAGGAAAACAATCGTATACTTATTCCCGATGTTTTTGTGATCATTGTGTGCCCCGCGAATGTAGAAAAGTTACACGAAAGCCCTGCTTTCCGTCGACGTTTGCGAAGCCATGCAATTTTCACGAAAGATATTACACTTCTTGGTACCGAGGAAGCGAAAGAGCGATTAAACCCATCCACTGTACATGTGCTACATTAGTGCAACTTGCCCGGCGGAACTGAACTTCTACGCCGACCGGGAACTCAACGACGGGGCTTGAGAATTTCAAGGAAGGCCGGTTATTTGTGGTGATTAAAACGACATGCTATCACAATGCTTTTTCCAAACATCAGTAGGCTTTAGCAGGCCACATTCAGCAATGCCCATTGCAGGAATGTATAGTCAATCCGGGCACGAAGCAAAAATATTTCCAGTAGGCCTATATGTAAAAGCATATTTATTTCGAGTTATAAGCCTATCACACTTCTTTTTCAAAGGGCAGATTCAGGCATGAAGCCTGGCCTTATGTAATTTTAAATAATAATAAAAACAAAGTAACGACTTGTTGTTGTATCATTTTGTCCAAACCCAGTCGTTTCTTAATGGTGTACATGATGTACCAATTTAAATGCAGCTGTCATAAATACTGGGAAAACCAAGAAAACAAGTGCTGCTCTTGTAGTCTGGTTCCCATGACCCTACTTCAGACGAAACGGAGCCGTTTATAGATGGTCAGGTCAGGGAACCAGACTAGAAAGCTTGCACCTGTTCACGCGTGCGTAACGGATTGCAAACAAATTGTGGACTAACTAAATTTGGGAAATTGGAGGCAGTATTAACAAAACAAAAATCAGGTTTGTTTTTCCAACGATGGTCGGCCGACCATCATTTAAAATTGATACAAACAGTCAACTTTTCTTGAAAATGGCAGCACACCAGGTTCCATGATTTCACAGGATGCTTGAGACTACTATTCACAAACAGTTGAGTAAGGTATTCCTAGCTATTTGGCAGTTTTGTTTTTGTTATGTTTGCAAATGTTGTATATTGCCATTAAGCAACATCTCTAACATACCCTCTTTTATAACGCACTGTCCACAGCGACAGCGCATTCATCCGACAGCTTAACTCACCACTTATTCAGCAAACTTTGAAACAGTGGTTTGTAGGCCTTTGTTTTGAAATCAATGATACTCGGTCATCCATGACTGAAGAGATGCAAATAAGATATCAATGAAAAGCTAATGAACTACCCTTTTAAGATGGGGCCACTTTGACAGTGTTCAAGTTCATAACTTTTACATTTATTAACCCATTACTTTTTTTCTTTTTTTTTTGGTGTGATACACCCTGTGTATTCTGCACACATGCAGTGTTTCAGCACTGTAGCTTCGGGTTTTGCGGTCAGGCACCCTTATCAGGGTGCAGACCAATAAATCAAATGCCATAGATCCCGCAGTGATAAATACCCCGACTTCGAAAAATCACCAGAAAAAATACTCACAACTCTCCAATGTGTTTGGGACACCCATCAATTTAAAGCTTATTTCATCATCTTTCATTTTCTGTTCAATTGTTTGGGGGTATCAGATGACTTGTGGGAGAAATTTCGATCCAAAGATGCAAAAAGTAGTGGTGGAGCCCATCGTCATCTTGAAAAATGATGCCTACGCTCCATTGCAAAATGGAGCAATTAAAGGCCCGGATTTCATCCAAATTACACAGATATACAAGCTCGCAATCCTGTGCACGGCATCCTCACTTCTTTTCACAAAACTTCAAGTTCATGGCCCACAAAATGCTCAAATAGCAGAGAATTTGAGGGCATGAAAATTGTGATTTGGCAGGAGTAGGCAATTTTAGGCCTACCCTTCAACCCATTTCGCCACTTGAAGGACCGACCCGGGTATGCAAATGACTTTGCCTCTCGTCTCACATTGGAGACTTTGGTTTTACACTGAAAATCCTGGCAGCCCAAGGTTTTGTGCATAAACTCTAAAATTAATTACCAAAAGCATCGAGGCTGTCCCAGTAATGTGACATGTTCACTGTTGCCAGTTGTTTGGTTGAAAGGCGTCAAAACTCCAATAAATCACCCCCGTAATGTTTTTAAGTTTGTCGGTTGTGTGTCGTTTCCATTTTCTAGCATCTTCAGTCCAACTTTGTTTTCGTTCGGCGTAATTGCTCGTGACATGAATGTAAATGTTTGGCAATGACATATCGATGAATCAATCAATTATCAAGTGAACAAGAAGTACAAGCAGGTACTGGCAAAGAAGCGTTCAAACCCGAAGTGAACAGCCGAATGCAACTTGATCAGATTTAAAGAAAAAGATGATTTATAATTTTCCAGGCAGGAGAACAGTGTTCCAATCGATCGCCAATTGAATACACATCCCCTTACGTTTACACAGGTGTAAAATATTCATTTTATACATATTGACTACATAAATTAAACTTCAAATGCAAATAACATTTTGCTGATATGAATCCTCCCCCCCCCCTAATTTCAGTAATCGGTCACCATCTACAAAAAAAGCTATAAATAATGAAAACGTCATTGGTTGGTCCATGTGAAATGTTTTTATATGCCAGAGCGATAACATGCAAACTGCCATCCAACCGTTACAAAGCGACTTATTTATTAACCGTCAGCCATATCGTATCCCATTTGCCTAATAGTGAGCGACATAAATGATGATGGGCAGGTAGGTACCCGTTGAAGACAACACCAGTGATGGTTTTAATAAAAAGCACTGTTTGTATACTGCGCCAGCGTCACGTGAGGAAGATGCAGATGCGGCTGGCGCTGGGGTTGCGATGGCAATGGAACACCAAGGAGAAAACTGGGGATAGTGGCAATATATTACCTAGCAACCAAGCCGGCAACAATAAGCAATGTGAGCACGCTCCACTGCCGCTCGCATATTAGGCACGGGAACACATAATAACGCTCCAGCTCATTGGGTAACGGAAGAGGATGGAGTGACTGGTAGAACGCTGTTGGTTTATATTGGACGGCAAATTGTGTACACGACCACTTACCACTGTCAAAGCTTCTCTATTTTCTTATCATTTTTGAGGGACTCTGAGAAAGGTAACTACGCAGTGGATCACTCTGTGTACGATAAAGTCACCCTTCAGGACGAGGGGTACGGGTAGAGAGATTGACAGCTGAGAGGCAACACAGGCTTGGGGTTCATGGTGGCATTGCTAGTCAGCGTCGCTAGGCAGCAAGTCCAGTGCTGAAGCCTGTGTATATAATAACGCGCGTGGGTCTTTACTTTGATCATTAATAGGCCGCATCAGCTGGTCGGTAAAAGGCGGCCTTCGACTCGTATTCAACGTGAATGGAAAACATCATGCTGCGTATATAGACGGACCCAACATCTCCTGTAAAGGAATATAATGGAGACATGATTTAATTTGATGCGATGTCCAACGACACTGTGGCTGCGCTGTGTCTGATGATAGCCTAGCCTGTGTGTGTATATACCTCGATAGCACCACTTTGGTATACACGACAATCGCGAGTTAAAACAGGAAGATATGTACCGAGGGTTTGCGAGAGTGTCGAGACTGTAATAATGGCGTCTTCTTTGATACACCGTCTCCTGTCTGGAAGAGACTTGGTGCCTTGTAGCGGTTCAGTGAAATAACTCCGGTGAGGGAGAGGGGGTTATACTCCCAATGGGTTGTGCTTCATCAGTCCAGGAGGAGCGGACTAGGAACGGTACGGCGGGCGGTATACCCGAGCCGGACGCCCCGCCACCCACCGACCCCAGACTGCCCCTGACGGCCCGCCAAAAATTCAGCCTGGAAAAATCATGGAAGGCCGTTCAGCGGAGCTTAGAGGCAGTCGGAATGAATGCTCTCATAAGGTAGGTACATGAAAACTAAATTTACATAAAATGGAATTCATTTTAAAATTAATGTATGGGTCCCTATTACTAGTGCCACTTGACAGCCATAATTGAATTCACAGCATTTCTCAAGTGATAATCCCTGCCCAGATGATGAGTGGTATGGCGTTTAATTTCACATGATTTAATGTTCATTTTAAACACGTGGTCTTCTTTTTAAAACATTCAAGGTTTGGGGAAAATTTCCCTCAGGCATCTGTGTCATTATTACTTGAAGGTGATACCGGAGACAATACGGAGAAGAAAACTTAGCAGTAAAATAACCATAGACCTAGGCTTACATCATCCTCTTTCTTTGAGAAACTTATACCAATTTATACTCATGGCACCTCATAATGGGCACAGCCGCATAATTGCAATCACCGATCGAATTACAGGTGTGAAATTAGTATGTAGTTTATTTCATTCAACTCGTGCCCCTCGGGCCAAATGGCAAGAATGTTACAGTATAATAAAAACATGTAGCCGTGCTTTTATCATTCTAAAGCGAACGATTGGACTTAAATTTAGATTTCTCTTCTGCATGAAAACACTCTAAGCATTAGAAGTGATTTCATTTTAGATGCTGTGAGTTCTTCCAACTTGAACTATGCAGTTTTATGCAAACGCTGCTATTCAGTACTCTGTTTCGAGATATGTTCACGGTGATCAGTCAATAGCAAACGCTAATGACACTGACGGTGTGTGGCCCATGCATTCTCCTAAATCCACATCATGCATGACAATCGCAAAACTGGGACGTACATCTATCATTTGGGAGATTGGTATTGCTGTTTTTCACCACAAGCATCGTTAATTATCTATACGATTGATGATTAAGGTATTATTATAGCTCTTGGCTTAACAGTAGATTCCGTATGGCAGAAATTTAGGTTATTGCAAACAAAATTGTAAGGGTTTTTATTGCGATGTTGATACACTCTTGATTGCAATGTGCGCAAATGGGTCCAATCCTTTTCTAAGGGCGACGGTTCCCCTCCACTCCTCCCAAACAAAACATTCGGCAGTCAGTTGTTGTTGTTGTTTTTTTTTGCTTATTATTTGGCGAGAATTAATGTTCCGAAATCATTATCCACCCCTTCCCATGTTCTATTTGGAGCCAGTAATAGAGGAAGATATATGTAGGCCTTTGGTAGCCTTGTAATGAGCCTGTCAGGTTTCCTTCTCAGAATAGTTAGAAATGGGAGGGGAAAGTTGCAACCTTGTCTTGTAATTGCTCAATTAACCATACTTTCTGTTAGAAATCAACGCGAAAATAGCAGCAACCGCACGGACTATAACCTCGGTCGAAAGGTGAACGATATAATTATCTCCATAACATTATTACTCCGAACAAGCATGAAAAGATCATTCTCCCGCCAAAATTACGCTCCTTGTAGGTTTGAACTTTAAAAAAGGCTGATTTTGCTTCTGTTTGTCAACAAATTATTGTATTACAATACCAATGGAGCAAATCAATGGTTAAAATACGATCCGCTTTCTTTATTCCGATGATATCAAATAACCAGTCGAACCTGCTTAAACCAGGTCCTTGGTATTCATCATTGTGTACAATATGGCTTGGAACACGGAGTTACATTATGCAAACGATTGTTCACTGCATGTTAACACAGACACGACGATCCACGACATGGCTGGAAAATTATATCGCCCTTCAGCTGCAGGCCGTTCCGGTGCGGATTCACTGGATACTCGGAAAAGACTATATGGTGATTAAATATGGCCAAGCCTTGAACTGCACGGACTGCTTAGCATGGGGGGGGGGGTATTTACATGTATTTAAAGTCGTGTTTCGAGTAATCTTGAATGTTGCTAACAGAACTCGTTGTGCGGTGATCCAAAGTCGTAAACTGATCGCCAGCTTTACAAGTGCAAAACCACGCATGCATGTACATGTAAAAAGAGAACATGTCCCCAGCCAATAGGCCAAAAACAACATTGAAATAGTGTGAAATAGAACAGTTAATAATAGAAAGTGCAGAACTAAGGGGCCCAATGATAGCGACTTTTTAACATGTATCTGTGTGTGTACCAAACATGTATGTGTGTTCGTACCAATTTGAATATTGAACAGCGCCTTCAGTGTCATAATAATCCCATCCCCTGTGCCGGGATTTTTTTACTGGCTAAACTCCCGTGACAAATCTTCCGCTTCGCTACTGCCATTCGTTTGGGGTTGACAGTCAGCAGGTGATAATATCGATTTTATGCACTCTGCGTGTGTCTGCAGAATAAAGATACAAACCGTCTCCTTCTGATCCGATCTGGTTCCAATCACGATTTTAAGACTTTTTTTTTGAACAAAACTCAGAATGCTTATTACTTCAACACATTGAAACCTCTGATGAGTCACAATCTGTCATTTTAATTCACATTCATAAATACCTAAGACAGTTTACGCATTCCTATTGGTCGAGAGCCCGTCACGTGGCCGGTCTTAAACGGATGATAAAGACATGGCTAGCTGGTCTTAAACACTTTTCCAGTGTCACAATAAAATGTGGACTCCTAAAAATAAAGTGCCTCTTATCGTTTCATTGGTTGAACGTTCACAATCCTCACGTAGGCATGCGCAACACTACCAGGAAGTCAGAATTTTAAAGTTCTAAATTCAAAACGCAACGCGCCAGGTGCGTTCTGCGCGACATCGCGCAGAACATGATACGCGCGCGTCAATCTCCATAAAAGGGTTGTTTACATCTTACTCGCCAGCTGAACACTCCATTATTTTGCAAGAGGGATGTTTCAAAAAGCATAAAGTGAATTTGTTGAACAAAATCGGGATGTTTTGAACGAATTATATGATTTTTTCTTACCGAAAAGGTATTTATGAATGGGAATAAATATGTGCTCCGTCAGTATTTATCACTCTGTTTAAGACCACTTAGAGTCTGGGTGCTGATAATTACCCGAGCCGGAGTCTGGGTGCTGATAATTACCCTCGCCTCCGGCTCGGGTAATTATCAGCACCCAGACTCTAAGTGGTCTTAAACAGAGTGATAAAAACCTCCGAAGCACACAATTTTATTCCCTTATTATTCCATGTTTGAAACTGAGCACAAAACCAAACATAGGGGAACCTGTACATCTTCTTCATTGTGACCTTGCATGTGCAACATGCCTAGTACGGCAGATAATGATGGGATTGTGTCTTTGATGATACAAGCATGGCATTTGACACACAGTCAGAGCATGCCATGAGAAAAGTATTTGGCTATAGGGCCATCGCATATTTGTCCTTTGAAAAAAAAAAGAATAGATAGAATAACAAGCAATGGCAGCCATTTAGAAAATTTTGAAAATTGCTTGTTATTCTATATATAGTTTTTTCAAAGGACAAATCTGAGATTGCCCTATTAGGCCATCAGTCTGGGGGTTTGGTCGGTATCAAATGAGGGGAATATCAAATGAAGGGAATAATAATCATCACGGTATGCACCCCTGTGGTTGGAAAATATGTGATAGCATTGCAGCGGTGGCAGCTTTTTGGGTGCTTTCACTGTTTTTTTTTTTTTAATGGCAGCCAAAACATGCCACATATAATTAATCCGGTTCACACATATTGGCGGCCATTTTGAAGAAAAAAAATAAAAGTGATAACACCAAAAAAACTACCACCACTTTCACTACAAAGCTATCACACATTTTCCTATTTTAGATTGTGTTTACCGTGTCAAAAATCGCTATGAACATTGTTCTTTTCGATATTTTGATACCGGAGGCCCAATTTTTGGGCCGAAGCCAAATATCTTTCTTAATACATATACTATGATTATGTGCCAAATTCCATGCTTGTGTCATCAAAGGCACAATTTCCCAACTATTTCCCCTATCTGCCCCACTAGCTTTGTTGATGTTGTCAGTGCCATTTCATTAACATAGTTTCATTATTTAACCAGGAATTTATTCTAGTACTGGCTAAAAATTTGTTGCCGAAAATTCAAGTCTTGGCGATAGACGACTCCATTAAAGGAGTCCCATTTTATATCAAACTAAGTGAAAATCGAAGACCAACAATGAGCCTATTTTCATAACGATAGGTTTATAATAAAGGATCAGTACGCGGAAAAGTAGAACCCGTTAAAGCATTTTAAAAAGACAGTTTGGTTGTGTATAGAAGTGGCCTCGATGATTTGAGATACTATAGTAACCATTACTGCCATTGCGTAAATAGATTACCTATTTGTTAAGATTATGAACATGTAGCGTAATTACGTGCTTGGTCCAACCAAGGACCATTGGTCCAACTGCTTAATTATGCGTGCCCCGTGCTGTTCACCGAATTCGATCCTTTCTTTTCTCTTAATACATTTTAACTTGTATGTTTTATTCCTACCAACATTTTAAAAACCTTCTGAATAAAAAGGTTGTAATTTTTGGCACAAACAAATACGCTTTACGAGCAGACTGGCTGCCGGTCCGTATATACATTTATATCGATACGGATTGTGGGGGCGGGGACCAGCCTACCCCGCGAGAATGGAATTATTGTCTGGATGCCAATATTTCGAATTTTTACAAGTAGTTATTCAATAATGTTTGTATTGCTAGAATAATAGCAATTTAGAACATTTTTTTTTCTTTCGGGATGATACTCGAAAATAGCACTTTAACTGTACTTTCTTCATCCAGGTCAAAGTACGCCGTGCCTGCGGTTTAATGTATAGTTTCCGTTTTAGCTGGCCGGCAAGCAGCACTGTACAAGACTTCCAACGAAACCCTGCACTTCAGTTGATCGGCAGGTTTAATGTAAAGACGTCACAGCCTTGGCTTGAGCCCCCTCTCTCGAAAATAGTAATTGTTGACTTGCTTATCCCCTTTGATTAAAAAACAAATTGGCAATCAACCATTGTGCATGCATGGCCGCCATTGTCTACCACCTATAGGGTTAAATGAGACCAGTATTAAAATAGACTGCCATAGACCTCAGTGATAATAATTACGCGTACTTCCCCCCC